AAAAAAAAAAAAAAAAAAAAAAAAAAAAAAGGAGGTCACCTTCGAATTGCCTGCGAAGGGCTGGGAGGTCCCGGTGAAGAATGCGGCGCCTGCGGTATTCCCAGTAGCTGCTGTAGGCAGCAAAGGCCCCAAGTGCTGCTGCTGCTGCGATTCGCCCGCCTGTGCTGCTGCTGCTGCTGCTGCTGCTGCTGGGCGTGTGTTCAGAGAAGCGGCGCAGCGCAAGGGAGTGACCGCCCGCATGCAGGCAGGCCAAGGGACGGAGGCCCTGCAGCGGCAGCTGACAGGCGCGGATCGCCATTGCTGCTGCTGCTGCTGCTGCTGCAGCGGCAGCGGCGGCTGGGGCTGTTGCTGCTGCTGCAGGTCAGCTGGGCCTCTATTGACTTAGTGGGATCTTTTTCATTCTTTTTTATTTTGCAATTGTCCAGCTTTTGCCTCACACACTTATTCGAGGTGTATGTACACTCCAGCTGCAGCAGCAGCAGCAGCAGCAGCCCGCGGCCGCCTGGGGCCCCCGAGAGGCCCCAGCCCTAATCCCAGGGGCCCCAAAATACTAATTTTAAAACATTAAAATCTTTTTTAAGTTAAACTTTGAAATTTTAATTTCAATAATTATTCAAGAAGCCCCGTGCTGCAGCAGCAGACCACTGCAGCCTGAAGCGCTTTTCGCGGGGCCCCACAGCAGCTTTCCTGCATGCGTTTTCATTTGCTTCCGTCTTCTGCTGCAGCAAAAGCCTTCAGGGTTTGCTGCTGAGGGTTTAGGGTTTAGGGTTTAGGGTTTAGGGTTTAGGCCTTCAGCGCCCCCGCAAACCCCGGATTTGCTGCGCCTCTGGGCGAATCCCAAGGCCTAGGGTTTAGCCCTGAGGGTTTAGCTGCTGCAGCACTATGGCTTCTGCTGCTCCAGTTCGAGTGGACTTGGCCAGCCTGTAAGTCCCTCTTTTAGGGTTTGGAGGTGACCCCGTGGGGCCCCTACTGCGGACCCTTGAAGCTATCGCGGGCCCCAACTCACTTGCTGCTGCTGTGCTGCTGTGCTGCTGTGCTGCTGCTGCTGCTGCTGCTGCTGCAGGGGTCCCGGGCTGCCGGATTTTGTGGAAGAGCCCGACAGCCTCACTTACCATCTGCACCATCTCATCGCTACGGACCTGCAACCTCTCGAGATCTCCACAGAGTGAGGCGTCTAGGGTTTAGGGTTTAGGGTTTAGGGTTTAGGGTTTAGGGCCAAAAGGATGAAACTGAAGGCTTGAAACCGGGGTTTTGGCCCGTTTTCTGGGGAGAAGTGTCTAGACTTTGCAATTCAGACTTTAATGTCTTTTATTTTTGTTTTTTTTCTGCAAAGTCTCGAAGAAAAAACACAAAAAGCTGCTCAATTATTTGTGACGAAGTTATTTTCGCTGCCTCGCCACACCTCGGAAGATGGGGTGTACGTACAGCTGCCGCCTCCGCCCAAGATCGACACTTTCCGCTTCCCGCGGACTCTGAAGGTGATTAAAGCTTTTAATTGAATTCTTTTTTAAAATAATTAATTGAATTAATTAATTTACGAATTTAATTCAAATATTTGTTCTAAATTCGGAGTTTCAGCAGCAGAAGTTGCTTTCTGCTGCCTCCGCACATTCAAGTCTGCAGGGTTTAGGGTTTAGCTTCCGCACAGACTTTTCCCCCAACCCCCAAGTTGAATCCTGAATGCAAAGCCACTTGCTGCTGCTGCTGCTGCTGCTGCTGCTGCTGCGCAGCTGCCGACGGCGCGGCCGCTGACTCGGTGGCAAGCGTTTGCAAAGGCGAAAGGAATTGTTAAGAGAAAACGCTCGAGATTAATTTGGAGTGAAGAATTAAAAGATTGGATTCCTCGGTGGGGCCCCCGGGGCCCCCGAGCGGTGCAGCAGCAGCAGCAAGCAGTGCTGGAGGAGAAGGGGGCTGTGACTTTGCGCAGCAGGAACCTCAGCATCAAGAAGGCTTCTGCTGCTGCTGCTGCTGCTGCTGCTGGGGGAAGGGGCCAGAAGAGGAAGCGGCTCGCCGTGCCGGACCCTGCTGCTGCTGCTGCTGCTGCTGCAGCAGGCAACGAGGGGGACTTGTTCACGCAGGCCAAGAAGCAGCGCCAACTGGAAAAGGCCAAACAGAAACTCCGGGAACTTCGAAACCAGGCGGAAGCAAAAGCGGGAGTTGCAGCAACTCGCGGGTTGCTGCAGGCTGCAGCAGCAGCAGCAGCAAGGGGGGCCCCCAGGGGGGCCCCCACCCTCCCCACAGGTATTCCGGTGCTCTCGGCAAAGAAGCACCGCGGCAAGTCCAAGCAGGAACTCAAGGAGCTGCTGCTCAGGTCCCAAACCCTAAACCCTAAACCCTAAACCCTAGGCGGGGCACCCCAAACTGCTGCAAATTTGAAACCCCAAACCTCTAAAGGTGTTTCTAAACCCCCAGGAGTTTGAATTAAAAGCTTCAAATGAAATAAAACTGCAATTATGGACTTCTGCAAAAAAGCCTCTTTGGAGTGCCAGCTGTACGTACAGCTGGCACCAAAGGGGTTTTTGCACGAGTCCACATCTGCACGAAAATCCACTTTTGTTCTTTTTCATTTTTTGGTCTTTTTGTTTTATTCTTTCTTCATTAGTTTCTTTTTTGTTTGTTTAAATTAAATGCCTTCTTCGCTTTTGTTTTATCCTCCAGGGCCCAGATATCCACGGCCTCGCAGGGGCAGCACGAGAAGTTTGCTGCTGGCTCATTGGGGGGCCCCACACTGCAGCAGCAAAAGAAGCAAAAGCCGCAGCACCACTCTTCTGCTGCAGCAGAAGCAGCAGCATACAAGGAGCAGCTGCGGCTGCTGCTGGCCACCAAAGCAGCAAACAAGGAACACGCAGGCGACTGACTGAGGCGGCTGGTGCTGCATGAGCAGCAGCAGCTGCTGCTGATGCAGCACCAGGCGACTGACTGAGGCGGCTGGTGCTGCATCAGCAGCAGCAGCTGCTGCTGCAGTTGCTGCTGCTGCTGCTGCTGGTCAGGATCTTTACTTTGGCAATTTAATTCTGTTTTCTTTCTTTGGACTCAAACAAATACATAACGGAGCAAATGCAGTCGGGGCTACGGCGCAACCAATACTAAATGCTGCAGTTGCTGCTGCTTTGCTGCTGCTGCTGCTGCTGTAGGATTTAGTGCATGCAACGCGATGGCGCACACTACTATAAAAAGACAATATCTTTAGTGTCTGTAGACGACGCTCCTGGAGGGCCCCCATCGGAGTGAGATTCCCTCTTGGGGGCCCCTGGGGGCCCCTCTGGCGGCGCCACTGCCGCAAAAGAATATTGAAAGCCCCTCAGGGGATCTACAGAGTCCCCTTGGGGGCCCCCAGTGCCTGTGGGGCCCTCCTCTGAACAAGTGGGGATTGAGCGGGTCCAGAAAGATGCTTCTGCTTCTCCTATCTGCTGCTGCTGCTGCTGCTGCTGCTGCTGCTGCTGCTGGTGAATGGCGCTGTCCCAGAAGAGCCCCGCCCTTTGCTCCACAATCTCCAGGGTCTCTGCTGCTGAGGCTTCGGCAGCAACAGCAGCAGCAGCAGCTGCTGCTGCTGCTGCATCCTTGTCTCTCCCGGGCCTCGGCAGCCCCAGCAGCAAATCCAAAGCATCTTCTGTCCTGTCTCTAAATGGCTCTGTTCTGCTGCCAGGGGACAGCTGGGGGCCCCCCTTGAGGGGGCCCCTGGGGGGCCCCTTGAGGGGCCCCCTGGGGGGGTCCAAAGTCCTTTTGTTTTTGTTTTCTAATGAGCAAACGGCAAGTGACAATCTGTCGCTTTTACTTTTGCTGCTTCTGCTGCTGCCCTTGCTGCTCTTGCTGCTCCGGTTGCTGCTGCTGCTCGGCCACTCGCTGCTGAGCCGGGCTTGCCTTGCTGCAACTGCAGCAGCAGCAGCAGCAAAGTCCGTGCACCTGACGGGAGAGGAACTGTGGCTTCTCGTTCCTGCAGCAGCAGCAGCTGCTGCTGCTGCTGCAGCGCCTGGGGGTTCACAAGAAGCAACGCGGCGCCCTCTTGCAGTGTCTGTACACCTCAAGTTGCGGGGCAGCAGCAGCGCAGGGTCGGGTCTTCTCGGGTCTGTGTCTGCTGCTTCTGCATCTTCTGCCGTTGCTGCTCCGTTTGCTGCTGCTGCTGCTGGTGCTGCTGCTCTGTGCTTCGGGACTTCGCCTTCGAAGCCAGGAGCAGCAGCCGGGGCAGCAGCACGCGCTGCTGCTGCTGTCTCGGCTGATGCGGCATCTGCCGCTGCGCCCTCTGCGCAGTCCGTTGTTGCTGCTGCTGCTGCTGCTGCTGCTTCTTGCATCTTCTGCTGCTCAAGGGCTTCTTCAACAGCTGCTGCCAGCTCCAAAGAAATAGCAGCTGCGGGCACAGCAGCTGCAGCAAACACAGCAGTTGCACACGCACCACATTCAAGTGTACGTACACCCTGCAGCCTGAGCTTGTGGCGCTGCAGCAACTTACGCCGAAGTTGCTGCTTCTGTGTGTCTTCGAGCAGCTGCGTCTGCTGCTGCTGCTGCTGCTGCTGCTCCCTTGTCCGGAGTCCTAGCTCATCCTCGGAGTGCAGGACTGCCTGCTCCTGCTGCCGGCTGCAGCCGCTGTCGTTGCTGCTGGTGTCGCTGCTGCTCCTGCTGTCGCTGTTGCTGCAGCAGGCCTGGAGGTCCTCCAAGTCAAAGCCATCAGAGACGCAAAGCTCTGCGTCATCGTGCATGCAGCAGCAGCGGAGCTGCTGCTGCACTTCCTTGTCCTTCTCCGTCAAAAGCAGGCCCTTGGCTGCACAAACTAACTGTGCAAACACCACATGCAGCAGCAGCAGCAGCAGCAGCAGTTGCTGCAGCAGCAGCAGTTCACCCCTCGAGTGAAGCTCGCTGCGCATGCATCTTGATCTCCCTGCCGATTTCTTGTTTTCTTTTCTTTTGACAAAAAAGAAAATTGAAGCAGCAAAATGCCCGGAAGAAGCAGCAGCAGCAAAAACAAAAATGCCACAGGGAGGCCACAGACGCAGCCGAAAGAAAAGAAGAAAAACCAAAAGAAAAGAAAAAGAAAATAAAAAGAAAAGAAAGAAAAAACAAAAATAAGAGAAAGCAAGAAGCAAAATAAAAAGGAGAGGGAAGAAGCGGAAACGGAAGAAAGAAACAAAAGAAGAAAAACAGGACCGAAAGAAGAAAAAGAGAACTAAAAGAAAAAAGCAGAATTGGAAGACAAGGAAGAGACGCAAAAGCAAATAAATTTAAAAATAAAAGAAAATAAAAATAGAATCAAAAGAACAGAAAAAAAGATCGAAAAGAAATGACGAGAAAACGAAAAGAAACGAAGAAGCTGCAGCAGGTGGGAAAAAGAAAACTCCGCAGTAATAAGAAAGGGAAATAAAAAAGAAACAGAATACACTTGAAAAAGTGGAAATAAAAATAAAGCCAAAGAAACAAAGGAAAGTTGAAAAACAGGAAATGAAAGTAGAAGAGAGAAAGAAACAAAGAGAGTTAAAAAAGCAGAAATGAAAGCAACAAAGTGAAAAAGAAATAAAGCAAGACTGAAAAATCAGAAGTGAAATTAAAAGAACCAAAAAAATATAAAAAGCGCAAACAAAATTAAATAAAGAAATAAAATAGAATAAAAAATGGAAAATTCATAAGTGCCTCTAGCGAAAGAACTCCGGCATTTGCATTGAGGTGAGGCGAAAGAAAATAAAAGGGAAAAAGAAGAAAAATAGGATAAAAAACGAGGCAAATAAATGAAATCAACAAAATAGAATATGAAAAGAGAAGATTAAATAAAAACAAACAAAATAAAGAACAAAAAGAGGAAAATTCACCAGTGCTTCTCGGGAAAGAACACCGGAGTTTGCACTGAGGTGCGGCGAAAGCAAATTACGGGGATAATGGAACCAAATAGGACATAAAAAGAGGGAAATTAAATAAAATAAACAAAATAGAACATAAAAGGAAATAAAAATGAACAGAATTAAATGAAAAAGGGAAAATTCACCAATGCTTCTCGGGAAAGCACTCCGGAGTTTGCACTGAGGTGCGGCGGAAGCAAATTACGGAGAAAATGGAACCAAATAGGACGCAAAAAAGAGGGAAATTAAATAATAAACCAAATAGAATACAAAAAGGGGAAATTACATTAAAATGAGCAAAAGAAAAGATAAAAGATTGAAAAATTCACCAATGCTTCTCGGGAAAGCACTCCGGAGTTTGCACTGAGGTGCGGCGAAAGCGCAGACGCCCAAATGAGCCGCACGGAAGAAACTGGATCCGCAGAAAGCCGCGCAGCAGCTCGCAGAAAATATAAACGAAAAAATGACAAAGACAAACTCCTGAGTCCAATATCACAAACCGCAACAACGGCGACACTTTCACAGTAGCAGCAGCAGCAGCAGCAGCAGCAGCAGCAGTAGTAAGTAGCAGCAGCAGCAGCAGCAGCAGCAGCAGCAGCAGTGGCAGCAGCAGCAGCAGCAGCGAGGCGGAAAAGGGCAGAACGAGCTCAAACAAAAGCAAACGAAGAAGGGACAGACAAAGTCTGAAAAGAGTATTCTTTTCAACATCTGAAATATTGAAACTGACCTTATTATGGAGTCACAAACGTAAATAAACAGCTGCCGCAAGTAATAGCGGGGGGCCCTGAGTGAACACTCGCAGCTAGCCACTTTGCTGCTGCCCCCGTGCTCTGCAGCGACGCCAGCAGCAGCAGCTAGAGCAGCAGCAGCAAAAACTCAGCCAGCGGTAGCTACGGTAGCAACGGCAGAGCCAGCGATCCCGCCTAATCCTCAGCAGCAGCTGCAACAGCAGCAGCAGCAAAGAAACTCGCAGCTCCAGCCCGCAGCAGCAGCAAAGAAACTCGCAGCTCCAGCCCGCAGCAGCAGCAGCAGCAGCAGCACCTGGCGAACTTCTCGAGAAACATCTGCACGACGCGGACTTCTTCGCCCGATGTGAGACTTGGAGCTACCTGTGGAGAAGGTACTCCGCCGCTGGTGCCATTGCTGCTGCTGCTGCTGCTGCTGCTGGCACTGCTGCTGCTCTTGCTTGCTGCGTACTGCTGCATCAAGACTTCAACAGGCGGCAGCGGCTCCGGAAGGTTCAGCAAAGAAGGGCAGCAGCACTTTATCAGCGAAGGGATGCAGCGGCAAGCAGTCCGCCGCACCAAAGCCACAGGGTCTTCCAGCAGCCTGCAGCAGCAGCAGCAGCAACAACAAGAGCTGAACTGGCCTTCGCAGCACAGGTGAAAGAAGCTGCTGCTGCACGCAGGCCAGAGCAAGCAGCAACACCAGCAGCGGCGCCGCCGCCGCAGAAGCCTGACTGTGCTGCCTTCGACAGCTGCAGCAGTTGCAGCAGCAGCAGCAGCAGCAGGGTGCGCGCAGCTTACGAGAAGGCAAGGGCGAGAAGAAGCTCGCGGAGTTGGCGGTCTTTCAAATCGAATAAAAGAGGCAGCTGCTGAGCAGCAATAAGCCGAATGGAAAACTGATGGCCCGAAGATTCGCATGCAGATAATAAACACTGAGACACAAACCCCAGCAGCAACAGCAGCAAGCCCCACAAACGGCGCATGCACGAAGCAGCAAGTTGCTGCAGCAGCTGCAGCTGCTGCAGCAGCTGTGCTGCCCCGCTGCTCCCGGGGGGAAAAGAAGGAAAATTTCGAAGTCGCAAAAAGTGGTGAATTGAGAACTTCGGATTTGCTGCGTTGCTGCTGCTGCAGCAGCAGCAGCAGCCCGTAGCTGCTTCTTCTACAAAAATTGTTTAATTAAATAATTAATTTTAAGATTCAACTTTTCTCACCCCGACTATCTCGCGCCGAGAAGAAGTCGGAAGAGGCCGCGCCAACAGCCCCGCCGTCTTTATCGCCGCAAGCTGCAAAGCCACCCACGTCTGCATGCAGTTTGCATGCAGTTTGCATGCAGTTTGCATGCAGTCTGCATGCAGTCTGCATGCAGTTCCCATGAAAGTTTCGCCCAGACTACATGCAGCTTGCATGCAGCGTGTATGAAGTCTGCATGCAGCTTGCGTGCAAATTGCACAGCTTGCATGCAGGTTGCATGCAGCCTGCATGCAGTTTGCATGCAGGCTGCATGCAGGCTGCATGCAACCTGCATGCAACTTGGGCCGCAGCCGTTGCCTGTTTGGGGCTTTGCTGCTACGGCTAAGTACAGCCCCTGGGTCCCACTGCCTGCGTCCCAGCCCAAGTCTCAAAAGCCCCAACCCCGAGCAGCCTGCATGAAATATGCATGCAAATTGCATGCAAATTGCATGCAAATTGCATGCAGTTTGCATGCAAATTGCATGCAAACTGCATGCAAACTGACCCTGATGGCGCTGCTGTCGTGCAGGAGCCGCCGCGCCGCATCTGAGAATTCAGCTTCGCGGAGCCGCCGCTCCTCAGCGCAGTTGCTGCAGTGCGCGTTGTCTCCTTGCTGCTTCTGCTGCTGCTGCTGCTTCTCTTGCTGCTGCTTCTCCCACGGCTGCGAGCTGCAGCAGAGGCAGCGGCTGGTGGGGGGGGGGGGTGCGGACGCGCCCGCAAAGAGAGTTGATGCTGGGGG